AATTCCTTGATTCTCTGTTACATTCTGCAACACAATGGTGACAGCTGCACAATTGAACATAGTTCAGTCTCCGATCACGAATCTGATTACAAATGTGTCTACTTCTGCTACTGTTAAACATGATGATACAAATTATCTTGTTTGGCAATATCAACTTCGATTGCTTCTTGAAATTCATGGCATTTTAGGTTTTGTGGATGGTACTAGGCGCTGTCCTACTCAATTCATTGAAGATGCTACAATTGAAGGTGTTGAGACTTATGACTTTCAAATTTGGAAAATGCATGACCGTGCTTTAATGCAACTTATCATTGCCACATTATCTCTGACTGCTATGTATTGGTTGCTTGAGCTCTAATGACATGTGGATCAGCCTGAAAGATAGGCTCTCCACTGTAACCAAAGCCAGTATCTTTCAATAAAAAACGGAGCTGCAAAATATTAAGAAAGGTAACGATTCAGTTTCTACATATTTGCAACGCATTAAAGATGTGAGGGGTCATCTTTATGCAACTGGTGTCACCTTTGAGGATGATGATATTGTGATATTGGCAATGAAAGGTTTGCCTTCTGAGTATAATACCTTTAGGACAGTTATAAGGGGCAGGGAGAATGTCATCACTCTTAAGGAGTTTCGGTCTCAGTTATTGGTTGAGGAAGCAACTGTTGAAAATAACTCGATCTCAGAGTCTTTTGTCACTGCAATGGTTGCTCAAAATACATCCGGTAAAGGCAAAGCTCTTATGCTACAAGAAGGCTCTTCTAGTGGTTCCTCTCAATCACAAGTTTATAATGGTGGTTCAACAAATACTGGTTACAATGGTCACTCTTCTAACTACAATGGTGGATATAGTTCCAGTGGCTTTCGAGGACGAGGTAGGGGCAGGAATAACTTTCGGTCTAATCCAAGGTATAACACAAGCCCTTCTAATCTGAGTGCTGGAATACTTGGTCCTGCCAAACCTCATATCTCCACTTGTCCTGAGCATGGTTATGAAGTACCTACATGTCAAATATGTACCAAAAGAGGTCACATTGCTGCATATTACTTTCAAAGACACTCTTCTCCACCTGCACCATCCTCTAAAGTGCAGTGCCAAATCTGTTGGAAATATGGACACACTACAGTTCAGTGTTATCATCGAGGCAACTTCACTTATCAAGGAAGATCACCACCCTCAAATCTTTCTGCAATGCATACTACATTTTCACCTTCTGCACCACAAGAGCAATTCTGGGTTGCTGATACTGGGGCTATTTCTCATATGACCTCGGATCTTTCTAATCTTAATCTTGCAGCACCTTTCTCTGGCAATGATACAGTAACAACAGCAAGTGGCTCAGGTTTGCCAATCTCTAATATTCGTTCTACTACTCTTCATACACCTCAATATGTTTTTGAGTTAAAGAACATATTGCATGTGCCTCAGTTATCACAGCATTTACTATCCATATATCAGCTATGTAAAGATAACAAATGTATATTCATTTGTGATGAATTTTGTTTTTGGATCCAGGACAAGATCACAGGGAGAATCATTCTTCAAAGGCTGTGTAGAGAATGCCTCTATCCCATACCCTTTCATATTCCACAACATCTCATCATTCAAGCATAAAAACACAATGCATCTTTTCAGCAACAAACCTGTTATCTTGGCAGTCAAGTCAAAATAAATTTGTGGCACCAAAGATTAGGACATCCTTCCAACATTGTAACTTCTGCAATGCTAAAACAATCACATATTCCTATATCTTTAGATCATGTGTCTTCTGTCTGTAAATCTTGTTTGGAAGGCAAATTTGTCAAGCTTCCATTTCTATTTCCTGCAAATAAAACTGTCCATCCTCTAAAGGTCATCCATAGTGATGTTTGGGGTCCTTCATCCACTGTTTCCATTGAGGGTTACAAATTTTATGTAAGCTTTGTGGATGAATGTGCCAGGTTTACCTAGATTTTCCCATTAATGAATAAAAGTGAAGTTTTTGGTGTTTTTATCCATTTTCACAGTTTTCTGATCACTCAATTCTCTGCAACTGTGAAAGTGTTTCAAAGTGATGGTGGGGGTGAATACTCCATTCATAAATTCAAACACTATTTACTCCAAAAGGGTATCATTCATCAAAAGTCATGTCCGTATACTTCTCAACAGAATGGTCTCGCTGAAATGAAGCATAGACACATCCTTGAAACAGCAGTCACTCTCCTTCAAACAGCATCTTTACCACATAAATTTTGGTTTCATGCTTGTGCAGTTTCTGTTTATCTTATAAATAGAATGGCATGTCAAACACTCCAAATGTCATCACCATTTCAGTGCTTGTTTGGAACCTTACCATCCATATCTCATCTTAAAGTTTTTGGATGTGCTTGTTTTCCGCTATTAAAACAATTGAATTCTAGTAAGCTGCAACCAAAAACTTCACAGTGCATATTCATAGGCTATGCCGGTCAGTATAAAGGCTATCTTTGTCTCAATCCTCTTACCAACAAAATCTATGTGTCTAGACATGTTTTATTTGATGTGACTACCTTTCCTTATTCATCCATCATTACATCTAGTGCATTACCACGCATTACATTCACATCACTACAAGTACAACCACATGTTCTTCCTTCATTAGTCAATTCTCATAATACTGTAGTTTCACCAATTCCACCTAAAGCTCCAGAGTGTTCAACTTCTATCCCTACTAATGCCTCAGAGTTTTCACACTTTCCTCCCAATACTGCCTCAGAGTGTTCCATGTCCACCCCACTTACTAATTTAAGATTTGTGGAATATCCTACTTCTCCTACATTACCTATTGCATTACCTGTAGAACCTACACAGTCCTTGCTCCTTGATGATCTATATTTTCAACCTGAAAATCTGCCAGTTGTCTTTCCAATACCCTCAGTGAGCTTGCACCTATGCAAACTCGATCTAAAAGAAGAAGAAGGTGTTTTCAGCAACAGTTAAGTCATCTGTTCAAGTTTCAGAACCTGCCACTTTCAAGTCTGCTGTTAAAATTCCAGAATTGGTTGCTGCTATGGAAGATGAGATCACTGCATTAAAATCTCAAAATATTTGATCCATAGTACCATTGTCGACTACTAAAAACCTAGTAGGTTGTAAGTGGGTCTATCGAATCAAAACCAATCCTGATAGATCAGTGGCAAGATATAAGGCACGATTAGTTGCAAAAGGTTATAGCCAAGAAGAGGGTGTGGATTACAGTGAGACTTTCAGTCCTGTAGTGAAACCTACCACTGTTCAGTTAATTTTGGCATTAGCAGCTTAGTTTCAATGGTCATTGTGGCAACTGGATGTGAAGAATGCATTTCTTCATGGTGATCTTCATGAAGAAGTGTACATGTCTCAACCACAAGGCTTTGAAAGTTCAGTTCATCCCTCTAATTATGTGTGCAAACTTAATAAGTCACTCTATGGATTAAAACAAGCTCCTCGAGCTTGGAATGAAAAGTTTACAAGTTTCTTACCAGGATTGGGTTTTAAAGCTTCTCTGGCCGATCCATCATTGTTTGTGAGGCACACTCATCTTGGTACTGTGGTTCTTCTTTTGTACGTGGATGATATCATCCTCACTGGCAATTCAACTAAGTTGATTGATGATGTTATCCAAGCTTTAGCCAAGGAGTTTGAAATGAAAGATTTGGGCCCGCTTCATTATTTCTTAGGGTTACAGATTACATATCAGCCTTATGGTCTCTTTGTTTCACAAACTAAATACATCAAGGATCTGGTAGAAAAGGTTGACTTGCAAGATTCCAAACCTTGTGCCACACCATGTTTACCCTACCACAAGTTGTCTAAGACGGAAGGGACTTCTTATCACAGTCCACAACAATATCGAAGTATTGTGGGAGCTTTGTAATACTTGACATTTACAAGGCCTGATGTTGCCTTCTTTGTCAATCAATGTTGCCAGTTTATGCATAATCATATGGACTCCCATGTTGTAGCTGTCAAGCGCATCTTACGATATCTCAGTGGCACATTGCATTATGGTCTTCAGTTTCAAACTGGCAAGCTTCAGTTACAGGCTTATAGCAATGCCGATTGGGCGGCTGACCCAAATGATCGACGATCGACTTCTGGTCATATTGTATATCTTGGTTCGAGTCCTATATATTGGGCATCAAAGATGCAACACACGGTTTCCAGATCATCAACAGAGGCCGAATATAGAGCATTGGCAATCACAACTGCTGAGTTAGCATGGATACCGCAAGTCTTATGTGATCTGTGTGTTCCAATTTTCACTGCACCGGTTCTTTATTGTGACAACCTCTCTGCCATTGCTCTATCCTCTAATCCTATCTTCCATTCCAGAGTGAAACATATTGAAATCGATTATCATTTTGTGCGGGAACATGTTATTCGAGGAGATCTCCTTGTGCTTCATGTGTCATCCAAAGAACAGTCTGCAGATATATTACCAAAGGGACTATCTACACCCTTGTTTCAGCATCATTGTTCCAATCTTATGCTTGGTTCTTCCAAGCATATGATTGAGGGGGATGTAAAGATAAAGAATTGTCAGATTGTGACAAGTGTCAAAAGATGAAGGGATAAGGTGGTTGTGGTAGTTAAAACAGTTAGTATAGAATCCTTAGTGAGTAAGGAAAGTCACATGTATATATACTTGTATTATGTACTGTAAGAATCATTCATTGAATACAGAAAGTATAATTAAGCTACAATTCTCTCTCTAAACTCTTCTCTTTCTCTCTCTCTCTCTCTCTCTAGATTACACAGGAAAACTCTATTGATATTCTTCACAGGATGAAGATTAACATGTCCCACATCGGAAACCTAATGAAGTTCTTTAACACAAAATAATTTCATTACTAACTGATCAGGGTTTTTCGTGATATAACTTTGCACTTAATGAATTACAAAGGTGGTTGGACAAAAAAAAAAGAATTACAAAGGTGGATTCTTTCTGAAACTTTAACAAGTTTTGGTTTATCGTATTGGACATAATCGGATAATCCATGTATTCTTGTTTTTGTATTTATTACAAATAAGTACCCAAAAAAACATGTAATGAAGTGAAGAAAACAATGTGAACGTTCTCAGTCTGTCATTTATATCCATAAAACTCAAAAAACTCGATTCCAAAAATCTGCACACTTTCTCTCTCTCTCTCTCTCTCTCTCTCTCTCTCACTCCGTCTCTGCGTGTGCATGATCAGCCATGGCGGCGAAGCTTATGCATGCGGTTCAGTACGACAGCTATGGCGGAGAAGCAGCTGGTTTGAAGGTGATTTCTGATGGCCCAAAAAAAAAGTTAAAAAGTTCTAAGCTTTAGCATGAGAATAATCGAGTTTCTATGCCATCAGTGTTTAATTTGATTTTCATGGTAATTTATTTATAATTAGTAGTTAATCATATAACAAGTACAACCTGCAAGGAAACTGTTTAAGGATTGAGTTGAAGTGGTGATTCGTAATTGAACACAAATGAGTTTTATGTTTGGTACAGCATGTTGAGGTTCCGATTCCCGCCCCGAAGAAGAATGAGGTTTTGCTGAAATTGGAAGCAGTTAGTCTCAATCCAGTTGATTGGAAAATTCAGAAAGGCGAGCTGCGGCCTCTTTTCCCCAGAAAATTCCCTCAAATACCTGGTAATTCAGTTTTTCATGTTATTTGTGATCTTATTGTATTTGTATAACATTTGTAAACAAAATTTATGCAGAACACCAAATATAATCTCTCATTTGTGCTCGATTCTTACATGGAACGCATTTCGAGCGTTGTGTGGGTAGACGGGTTCGTAGGATTCTGCAACAAAATTATGTTGAAAGATGAGTTGTCTTGGGATGTCTTTGAGCTTTAGGCTGCTATCTATAGAGCAAAATCTTTAATCTAACCTGTTGTTTATTCTCTTCTATCTCTCGCGTCATGCATGACCAGTAACTGATGTGGCCGGAGAGGTTGTAGAAGTTGGACAAGGTGCCAAAAAGTTCAAAGTCGGAGACAAAGTTGTTGTACTGCTCAGCCATTTCGTAAGTGCTCGATCGACTTATTCCCCTTTACTTTAAGAGCTACTTGTTTATCCCTAGGATCCTCACATTTAAAGTTCGTGTGTTTGACAGAGTGGAGGAGGACTGGCTGAGTTTGCTGTAACTAATGAGAGATTAATGGTTGCTAGGCCACCTGAAGTTTCAGCTGCCGAAGGCGCATGCTTACCTGTTGCTGGCCTCACGGCTCACCAAGCTCTCACCCAATGTGCAGGGATCAAGCTTGACGGAACAGGTCAAAATAAGAACATATTGATCACTGCTGCCTCTGGAGGCGTGGGACACTATGCAGTCCAACTAGCAAAGCTCGGAAATACTCACGTTACAGCCACATGTGGAGCGCGTAACATCGAATTGGTCAAGAGCTTAGGGGCAGATGAGGTTCTTGACTACAAGACCGAGGATGGGGCAGCTCTAAAGAGCCCGTCTGGACGAAAATATGATTTCGTAATCAATTGTGCAAAAGGCATTCCTTGGTCAACTTTTGAGCCTAGTTTGAGTGCAAAAGGGAAGGTTATAGACATTGCTCCGACTACGAGTTCTTTCGCTACTTTTGTCGTGAAGAAACTCACCTTCTCAAAGAAGCAGTTGGTGCCACTGCTCATGATTCCCAAGGGTGCGAACCTGGAGTTTCTTGTTAGCTTGGTGAAGGAAAAGAAGCTCAAGGCAGTGATCGACTCGACGCATTCTCTCAGCAAGGCTGAAGATGCTTGGATTAAGAGTATCGAGGGCCATGCTACAGGGAAGATCATTTTGGAGCTTTAAGGTACCGTTTGGTACGTAAGACGGGACGGAACGGAGTGGAACGAGGTGTTACATCCTACATTTGGTGCGCCTAAAACGGGTGGAACGCGTTGTTCCACGGGACGAATTTTGAATGAATTTTCGTTCTGCCTCACCCCTGGAACAACTCGTTCCACATCCGTGGAACACAAAATTATAACCTCTCTGTCTCCTTCTTCTTCCTCCTTGTTTCCATCCAAGGGCATCTTTGCTCCTTCTCCGTTCCATCCCGTCTGTGCACTTGATGCACTTTTTTGGGGACTGTAAATTAAAGTTCAAGTACTGCAATTCAACGATGTATAATACTGTGTTTTGCTCTGTCCTGTTGAGTTAACTAGATAGCTCGAGTTGAAATGAACTTACTATTGACCATAAATTGAGACAACCAAGAATCACAATCAAGTACATCACAATCAAGTACAAATACGGGCTTCCAACTGGAACCCGAGTTCTAAAACCCTCACAAACATTTCAGCAGACTGCACAAACCCATTCTTGCATAGAGCATTAAGTATAGTCTTATCGTCAATAACACCAAGAACAAACCCATCATTACCATCTTTCTATACACCACGAATGACAAAAAACCCGACCAAGCAAGCTAACACATCAAGCGACTACTATGACGATGGAGGCAGTGAGGAAGGCGACGACGATGATGATGATGAGGAATACATCATAGTGCTTTGGTGAATAAACACCATTGAAATAATACTCAAAACTTCTCATATAACTCCATAACACTGGGCAATTCAAAGCATAGCATGGTCAAAACTAAGGCTCCACAATTATCTTTCCGGTAGCATGGCCATCCATGCTTTTAGCCCAAGCGTCCTCTGCCTTGGCCAGGGGATACTTTGAGTCAATTATCGTCTTGAGCTTCCCTTCTTTCACCAACTTAACAAGATAATCAAGGTTATCGGCCTTAGGAGATAAGAGCAGTGGCACCAATTGCTTTTTGGAAAAGGTAAGTTTCTTCAATGCAAAGCTTGCCACAGAACCGAGGGTGGGAGTAATATCTATTACCTTACCGTTCGCACTCAAATTAGGCTCAAAAGTTGACCAAGGAATGCCTGTTGCACAGTGGATCACAGCATCATATTTTCGACCGGATGGACTCTTAAGAGCTGCACCTTCTGGGGTCTTATAGTCAATAACCTCATCAGCCCCTAGGCTCTTGACCAGTTCAATGTTGCGCGCACCACAAGTGGCTGTAACATGAGTGTTTCCGAGTTTTGCCAGTTGAACCGCATAGAGTCCTACACCGCCTGAAGCAGCTGTGATCAGAATGTTTGCTTGCTGACCACTTCCATCAAGCTTGATCCCTGCAGGTTGTACAAGGGCCTGGTGAGCTGTGAGACCAGCAACGGGTAATCCTACAGCAGTGGCTGCTGAAACTTCCGGTGGCCTTGCAACGGTCAGACTCTTCATTGTCACGGCAAGTTCAGCTAGTCCACCTCCATTCTATGATTCATCATCGAAGAATACAATCAGTCAAAACGGACATGGTATGTATCAATGAAAGACGCATTACATATATAGGTGACACATTCTGTCACCAGGTTTGCATATTAAGCACATCAAGAGTCATTCCTACCCGCAATGTTCAGTCTCACACCAACCGGAAAGACACTAGGGAAAGGGGCACATAAAATCGATGAGCGGTTAACGAGGGCTTACAAATACAACAATTCAGATTGGAACAAATGGATACTACTTTTCAAATTGGTTAATAATTATTCAGAGATCATTATGAAATTAATAGCTCTAAGTTAAGTTATATATGGAAGCTTAATACCCTTTTTTCTGAATTATGTTATCCTTTCAGCTAAATTGTGCTTCGCCAAGAACGAATACTAAATTCGAAGAATTTCAAGTGAAACTGAGAAAGTGAGCTGATATATAGGGGAACTTACACGAGGGTTAACCATTGCAACAACTTTGTCACCAGCTTTGAAATTTTTAACTCCAGGGCCTACCCTTACAACCTCTCCTGCCACATCGGTACCTGTTCCAGTTCCAGCAAGGAATATCTTCGGTTAACAAAACGACTTCTCAGAAAATGTGGTCCTGTGAAAACTTCTACATAAACCATTTTATCTCATCTTAAAAGGTGCACCCCCACCCCCTTCCCTTTGAAAAACGTTGCTATCCGTTGCATATCTCTTTACTCTCTGTCCCTCTCATCATGCTGGATATCAATGGTTTCATGTGAGAATCTCTCCCAGGAAACACAAAAAGGCCACTGCAGAAAGTTTATTAGACCAAATGAACAAGAAAACAGTGCATTCAAACGCAAAGTATCAACGTGTTTAAGCAAGTATCGAACATCCATCCTACTTTTTTCAAGAAGAAGATCAAATAATACACGGAATGTAGCATAAGTCAAGACATATAAACACGAAAAGGATCCCCTAAGTAGCAGAGTGTCTCAAGACAGCAAAACCAAATTACCCGGTATATTCGGAAACCTGCTAGGCAAAAAAGGCCACAGCATGCCTTTCTGAACTTTCCAATCAAATGGGTTTAGACTGGCTGCCTCCACCTTCAGCAACACCTCATCCTTGCTCGGATTTGGAATCGGAACTTCAACATGCTGCAATAAGGCCAATGTCATGACAAAATGCTATGTGTCCACAAAATAGACCAACAACTTGGTTTACCATTAGCATATGCAAATGGTAATTTTCTCGATAACAAAACCTAGTGACGGAGTATATTTCCTGTCAGTATCTCTCTCATCACGTGATTCAAGAATCTCTCAGATTCTCGTTTCCTAATAAAAACAATAAACGTGAGAAAGAAAACCAATCACTGTATCTTTTCCTCCCCAAAATTTCAATGAATCAATCAGGTACTCGCAATCGAAATGGGGTTGCAGTTCATTTTCAAATTCGAAGACGAAGAAGGTGGAAAATCGAAAAGAATAACCTTTAAGCCAGAAGGTCCTCCGCCATAGCTGTCGTACTGAACCGCATGCATGATCTCATTGGCCATGGTCTCGCAGTTGCCACTTCAACCTTAAACGTTTCGAAGAGCCGACAGACGCTTGAAGCTCCTCCCAGATTTTATGAAGTACGGAGCTTATCCTTCAGTCGTTGGTGCATTATCTTTTGTATCTTTGGCACAAAACAGTACAACACTGCTGGGCATCCGGGAACTCCGGAACACCTAATAGCTTTGGTACTGTAAAACACTGTCAGGCATGTGAAATGACTCATTAGCCCACGTCTATTGTGGAACAAACTCAGACACGTTAGTCAGTATTTTGTCGACCTTGTATTCTTGTTGACTTTTTTTTTCCCCATTTATCCCCTAAAATATTATTTTGTCCCTGAAACTTAATTTACGCCACTTTACATTCTGAAACTTAATGTTTGCACCACTTTGCAATATATCATGGGAATACGCTATCCACACACCTTATTTTACTTCTCACACACCCCTTGATAATTTATGTCCGTTGATATTCTTCAATTCATTCAATCCGACGGTTAAAAATTAAAAATGTATGTAAGAAGTAAAATGTGATGTGTGGATATCACACCCCTATATCATTAGTTATGTCAATAAAATTGTTAAGTTCGCTTAGAGTATCTCCAATGGAGAACTCAAATTTTATTTAAGTCCAAATACAAGACAAAACATCTCCAATGCGCATGGAAATTAAAACTCATATTAGGGTTGTAAGGCAAAGTGAGACCCTCAATTTGAGTTTCAAAGTGATATTTGAGTCCAACGTGGAGCCCATTCAAACTAAAAATGAAATTATGTAACTAAGAAAAATGAAATTTGAGTTTTAAGTTCAATCATCTCCAATGCAAATAACTAAATTGTTAAAACTCATATGAGTTTTGAGTTCAATTTTTCTTCTCCAATGGAAAGACAATGAGTCTTAAGATTTCAGTCTTTGCATTAGGAAAAAAAATCAAAATACATAAATTCACCACTTTTTGGGACCCAAATATGAAAGTATAGGTTTAATATTTGAGTCTTTGCATTGGAGCTTTGGCTTGTTATGATTGCCATCTATGCAAGATAATATATAAATTAACATTTAAAGACATTAAAAATCTCCAACACAAACAACAACAACAACAAAGCCTTTTTCCCACGAAGTGGGGTCGGCTATATGAATCATAGAACGCCATTACGCTCAGTTTTGTGTCATGTCCTCCGTTAGATCCAAGTACTCTAGGTCTTTTCTTAGGGTCTCTTCCAAAGTTTTCCTAGGTCTTCCTCTACCCCTTCGGCCCTGAACCTCTGTCCCGAAATCACATCTTCGAACCGAAACGTCAGTAGACCTTCTTTGCACATGTTCAAACCACCGTAACCGATTTTCTCTCATTTTTCCTTCAATTTCGGCTACTCCTACTTTACCTCGGATATCCTCATTCCTAATCTTATCCTTTCTCGTGTGCCCACACATTCAACAAAGCATCCTCATCTCCGCTACACCCATTATGTGTACGTGTTGCTTCACCGCCCAACATTATATGCCATACAGGGTCTCCATCTAATTCTCCGTTCTCTTGCAAGATAGATCCTAGGAAGCGAAAACGGTCGCTCTTTGGTATTTCCGTGTCTCCGATCCTCACCCCTAACTCATTTTGGCCTCCATTTGCACTGAACTTGCACTCCATATATTCTGTCTTTGATCGGCTTAGGCGAAGACCTGTAGATTCCAACACTTCTCTCCAAAGGTTAAGCTTCGCATTTACCCCATCCTAAGTTTCATCTATCAACGTTATATCGTCTGCGAAGGCATACACCAAGGAATATCATCTTGAATATATCATGTTAACTCATCCATTACCAATGCAAAAAGGTAAGGATTTAAGGATTGTTGATGCACAAAATCAGTGAGGACTTTGGTACAACAGAAAGTATTTAAGTTTGTGACCTTCGCTAGATTGCTCTGGTCATTAGTGTGGATAAGTATGTAAAAGGATAGAGACAGGAAAGCAAAACACAAAATGTACGTGGTTCACCCAGATTGACTACGTCCACGGAGTAGAGGAGTTCTCATTAATTGTGAAAGGTTTACACATAGGTTCAAGCTCTCCTTTAGTGAGAACAAGTGAATGATTTAGTACAAATGATCTTCTCTGAGAGTACTCTTCCTCCATCCAGGGGTGGTATCTTTAATCGGTGGAGATGCACAAGGTAATGTATCAATTTCACTTGAAGCTTATTTGTAGTTTCAGGCTTGGTCAAGCGCGATACAAACCATGTAGTAGGAGTCCCCCAAGTAGCCGAGCTAGGAGATCTGCTGAAAGAGGTGGCAGACAAGGTAAGCAATCAGAGCTCCAAGCAATCAGTCTCAGATCAAAAGTTTGATTTCGAGTTCCGACTGATTGTTCTCATTCTCCCTATCTTGCCGGCAGCATGAAGGATAAAGAGAAGAAAAAGGAGGAGATATGATATGAGATACTTTTGCTTTTGAAGAAGTAACTTTCCACAGGCTTATTCTTGAACTGGGTTGGAGGGTTTGCTGGTTTCCTCCACACTGAAGAATTTGAGGGTCAAAACAGGTCCATCAAATTTAGAGTACGTTCGACCCTGATGATATGGGATATTTTTGCTGTTACGCTTATCTCCACATGTTTCCTTGTATCCTTCTCACTTGCCCTATCTGTTCCTCAGGCAGATGTGGTATCTTCTCTACAGGCATAAGATGTTGAAAATGAGTACTCGAGAGCAATGCCAGGTAAGTAATCAGGTAAGGGGTTCCAGGCAGTCAGTTTCTGACCAAAAGCTTGATTCCAAGTGCTGACTGATTGCTCTCTTTCTCCTTGTCTTGCAGGTAAGAACAAGGCCAAAGGAAAAGACAGGGAAAAAACATGATATGGGATACTCTTGGTTTTAACCCTGATGATATGAGATATTCTTGCTCTGGTGTAGCTTGTTTGCAAAGGTATTATCGGGGAGAAAGAAGGCTGAGTATTTCGAGAGGCTTCGTTAGGAGTGCCCTCTCAGATATGAGGAAGGGTTGAGCATTTTTGCAGGTCTGCCTGCCCGTTGGGGATGGAGGTCGACATATATAGGAGTCTCCCTAACAACAAGTAGTAATGCTATTCCTTTACTCTTCTTGGTCATAGCCATGTAGTGGGAGCTGCAAGCTTCACGTGTTTTAACTTTGCCAGAGTACTTTGAAAAAGTGGTCCTGTCGGGGATCTGGCTCTCGAGATTCGGAGAGCGGTGCCTCTTCGATTTTTGAGAAGGCAATCCTGCTGGGAGTCTGGTTCTTGAGGTCATAGCAATGTAGTGGGAGTTGCAAGCTTCACGTGTTTTAACTTTGTCAGAGCACTTTTTTTTTAGAAGACTTTGTCAGAGCACTTTGAAAAAGTGGTCTGTGGTATCTGGAAAGCTGATGTTGCGTGTGAAGATTACAGACAAGCTTTATCCAAGGAAATCTGGCTCTTGCGTGTCACGTGCTTTCTACTTCACCAGAAATCTTCGACAGATTGCCCGTAATTTCCGCAAAGCTGAGTGTGCATGTGACAGGTACTGACAAGGCTGAAAAAGTAGGTGCCTCTTCGATTTCTAAGATCGGCCCTCGTGGTTTCTGAGCAAGCCCAGCTTTTGAGAAAGCAAGCGCCGCTTCGATTTCTGAGATCAGCTTCTCGACAAATTGCCCGTGATTTCTGCAAAGCTAGGTATGCATTCTTCGATTTCTGAGCAGGCTCCTCTTCTAATAAAGCAGACGCCTCTTCTGAGAAAGCAGGCGCCTCTTCGATTTCTGAAGCTCCGTCGCGTGCTGCTTTTTATAGAGGTATGCATTACGTTTCAAAGCACACTTGCATTGCCACATGTAGAAATTCCCTTCTTGCACTTCTAAAATCTTGATTTGTCTGACCTCTTCTTCAACACCTCAGGAAAATGGTTGGCCCCTCTGACCGTCGTTTTGACGTGAACTTTGGTGAATAGGTGGACATGCCTCCTCAAGACAACAAGGCGCCCATCCTTCATATCCCCTACTGGTCCTCTTAACGTTGGGGATTCGGTGATGAAGAATGATATGACCACTACGGTGGTGGCCAGGAACCTTGTCACTCCCAAAGATAACAGACTACTTTCCAAACGGTCTGATGAGTTAGCTGTTAAGGATTCTCTGGCTCTCAGTGTGCAGTGTGCAGGTTCTGTGTCTAATATGGCCCAACGCCTATTTGCTCGAACCCGTCAAGTTGAATCATTGGCGGCTGAAGTGATGAGTCTCAAACAGGATATTAGAAGGCTCAAGCATGAGAATAAACAGTTACACAGGCTCGCACATGACTATGCTACAAACATGAAGAGGAAGATTGACCAGATGCAGGAATCTGATGGTCAGATTTTACTTGATTATCAAAGGTTTGTGGGTTTGTTCCAAAGGCATTTGCTTTCGTCTTCTGGGGCTGTACTGCGTAATAAAGCTCTAAATGATCAACCTCCGATGCCTCCTCCTTCTAGGGTTCTGTCCAGTACTGAGGCTCCGAATGATCACCCTCCGGTGCCTTCTCTTTCTGGGGCTCTACCGACTGCTGAGACTTCTCCTAAGCAACCTTTGTGAAGGCTCCCTCTTGTTTGTTTATTTTGGCCCATGTATATGTACATAGTTGTAACTTATCGGAGATATCAATAAATAAGCTTTGCTTCATTTCAACGTATTGTGTTAAATACACCAATGCCTTATGCACTAAGTTCTTTGAATTTTTTCTTTTGTTGAAGCTTGTATGTTGAAGCTTTGTGAGTGAAGCATGTAGGTTGAGGTAGGGTTCCCTTAATTTCTCGAGTGAGGAAAACTTCTCGGTTGGAGACTTGAAAAATCCAAGTCACTGAGTGGGGTCGGCTATATGAATCCTAGAACGCCATTGTGTTCGGTCTTGTGTCATGTTCGCCGTTAGATCCAAGTACTCTAAGTCTTTTCTTATAGTCTCTTCCAAAGTTTTCCTAGGTCTTCCTCTACCCCTTCGGCCCTGAACCTCTGTCCCGTAGTCGCATCTTCTAACCGGAGCGTCAGTAGGCCTTCTTTGCACATGTCCAAACCACCGTAACCGATTTTCTCTCAGCTTTCCTACAATTTCGACTACTCCTACTTTACCTCGTATATCCTCATTCCTAATCTTATCCTTTCTCGTGTGCCCACACATCCAACGAAGCATCCTCATCTCCGCTACACCCATTTTATGTATGTGTTAATGCTTCACCGCCCAACATTCTGTGCCATACAGCATCGCTGGCCTTATTGTTGTCTTATAAAATTTTCCCTTGAGCTTCAGTGGCATACGTCGGTCACACAACACACTGAATGCATTCTTCCACTTCATTCATCCAGCTTGTATTCTATGGTTGAGATCTCCATCTAATTCTCCGTTCTTTTGCAAGATAGATCCTAGGTAGCGAAAGCAGTCGCTCTTTGGTATTTCCTGATCTCTAATCCTCACCCCTAACTCATTTTGGACCCCATTTGCACTTAACTTGCACTCCATATATTCTGTTTTTGATCGGCTTAGGCGAAGACCTTTAGATTCCAACACTTCTCTCCAAAGGTTAAGCTTCGCATTTACTCCTTCCTGAGTTTCATCTATCAACACTATATCGTCTGCGAAAAGCATACACCAAGGAATATCATCTTGAATATGTCCTGTTAACTCATCCATTACCAACGCAAAAAGGTAAGGACTTAAGGATGAGCCTTGATGTAATCCTACAGTTATGGGGAAGCTTTCGGTTTGTCCTTCATGAGTTCTTACGGCAGTCTTTGCTCCTTCATACATATCCTTTATAGCTTGGATATATGCTACTCGTACTCCTTTCTTCTCTAAAATCCTCCAAAGAATGTCTCTTGAGACCCTATCATACGCTTTTTCCAAATCTATAGAGATCATGTGTAAATCATTTTTCCCATCTCTATATCTTTCCATCAATCTTCGTAAGAGATAGATTGCATCCATGGTTGAGCGCCCTGGCATGAACCCGAATTGGTTATCCGAAACCCGTGTCTCTTGCCTCAATATATGCTTAATGACTCTTTCCCAGAGCTTCATTGTATGACTCATTAGCTTAATACCCCTATAGTTCATGCAATTTTGTACGTCGCCCTTGTTCTTGTAGATAGGCACCAAAGTGCTATTTCGCCACTCATTTGGCATCTTTTTCGTTTTCAAAATCCTATTGAAAAGGTCAGTGAGCCATGCTATACCTGTCTCTCCCAAGACTTTCCACACTTCGATCGGTATATCTGTCATGCCTCGGACTCGGGGTCGGTAGTAAAAACTTGAACCCGAATCCGAAACGCGAACTAAAAACTAAATAATTAAAGTAAAACTGAAACGGGTTGGAAAATAAAATTCTTCTTATTTAAAATAACTCAATAATTCTTTACAAGGCTAAAATAAAGAAATACACAATTCTATCCTCACACTTAATCCGATCTCATCCCGTCTACCCTCTTAGATTGTTTAGTTCGTAAACCTGCATAACAATAGAGGGGTGAGCTTTAACAGCTCAGTAGGGACATAACCTTATTACAGTACATTGACAATATTAAATTAAGTGTCATAAAATCATGTAATCAAGTACCAAATCATTATCAGCAACAATGCATGAGTGCGATACAATACTCTTCATCCCTACCCGTTAATTCATATAATAAAACACGCGGACCTGCACGTCCCATACCGTGCATTTTACCTCTGCAATGGTGGTTCGAATGTTCTATTATACAAATTAACCCCCTGTAACTCAATCATCCCAATTTCCCCTTTTGTTAGTCATCTTGCCAAAACTCTTCGTCGCCAGTCCCGAATTACCCTTAAAGAATCTGTGCACTGTGGGCTCACCTGAGACCTGGTACCTGCTAAGAGTTTGACTCAACTACACAAAAGATCATTTCCATTACCCTCTTTCCAAATTCCTTTCTCACCTACAAAGTTCCAACCACTTCTGACACATGAGTGATGCACAAGCAACGTTATTACATCTTTCACATGTCACAATAGATCTCCATGTCACAATATATATCTCAATGAATAACATTCCAGTAGTACTAACAAGTAAACAACCAACTGAAGCAATAATCCAAACAATGTCCAACCACATTAATCAACCAACACAAATATAGTACTTCACGAAATTTAATAGAATCAATATCTGTAAAGGTCTGCCATATTTCCCCTACCTGGATTCCAAAGCATTGCTCCGAGATAATAACACAAGAAACCACAACTGTGATAAGCTCCTATTCACAAGTATAAGAAAATTACCAAATGCCTTATATGAACTTTAATACTAATCAACACACTTAAAACTCATCAGTTCCACGGTACTCAATTCAAAAGTCATTTGGTTGACTATAATGATGTACAAAATAGTTTCTTATATATAGCAAACATATATAGTGCTTATTCAAAAGTCATTTGCCTTCAAAACCATTCATATTATTAAATTGTACAGAAAACCATTTACCAACATGCTTCTTCATTTAATATAACTAAAACGATATATATATGTGTGTGTGTGTGTGTGTGTGTATAGTGCAAACAAGCTGAAGACTAAGTATGCTTTTGTTACAGTATGTACAAATGCAGAAAAAAAATAAGTATATATAGTTAGATAGTGTGAAACCAGCGGCAGATAGATATGTAGATATAAACTTTATCTATTCTCAATTAAATTAGCATAATACATAATACATAAGTAGTTTGGAAAAGGAAATTGAATTGGATTGTTAAACTAGGGTATTATCCATAGCCCTTTCATATTTTATAATTAAAACATCCAACTCAAAGAAACATACATACTTAAAGCCGAATACAATATATTTGATCGAAGTAAGCATATGCATAAATTAGCTTTGAATAACTATGGAGCTTTGAATAACCACTCCATGGCAGATACAAAGAAGGTATAAAACAGAAATGAAAAAGGATAAACAGAGTATGGAAATTGTTACCCATAAATAGCGAGATACAGGTTGAGTAGGTTGGAGGACTAGTTTCTAGTTTCTGGTCTCTCTCAACCATTTCTCCTCTCCACATAATCATCTATATATATATATATATATATATATATATATATATATATATTAAATGAACGAGCTCCAGAGCACCCATTGCATGCTAGCTCATGCCGGAAAAACAAATAGAGTTAATCTCCTATTTATAGGAAAATGATAGTGGCAAGACTAGATAAGTCGGCTAGTTTAAGTGGGTAAAGATTTAACTAGAAAATCATTAATTGGTGGAGATGTAGCTGCTACTTATCTTGGACACCAAGTAATTTGGTTGGTCCAATCAGAAGAAGACCAACATAAAGTATCAATGCATGTCTTGCCTGGTGGCGGTGCAAGGAGAGTTGATACGTGCATGGCTGCAATCATCCCACCTCATGCTAAACCAATATGGTGAGTCAACAACGTACTGAAACTTCAGTATGATAAACATACCTAATATATATATATATATATATATATATATATATTTTAATAATAATAAGAAACATATATTTTCAAAATGCGGGATCTTACAATATCATCTGGGCCCACTACTTTTCTATGCTTCATCTTCTTCAAAGCTACAACCACTTCTTCCTTCCTGATTCGACGATAAAATGAGTAGTTTCTACACTCTTCTGAGTTACTCAACTCCCCTAAAGAAGTGCTCCTTTCATGTCCTTCATTGAAAAGATTATGAAAATAACCTTTCCATCTGTCTTTGACCTCGTTCTCTGTAGCAAGAACCTTTCCATCATCATCATTGATGCACCTCACTTGGTTTAGGTCCCTTGTCTTCTTTTCCCTTGCTCTAGCTAGTTTATAGATATCCAACTCTCCTTCTTTGGTATCTAGTCGCTTATACATATCGTCATAAGCTGCTAACTTAGCTTCTCTCACAGCTTTCTTCGCCTCTTGCTTCGCTCTTCTATACCTTTCACAATTTTCATCGGTCCTATCTTTGTATAAGGCTTTACAACATTCTTTCCTAGTCTTCACCTTTGTTTGTACCTCCACATTCCACCACCAAGATTCCTTTTGGTGTGGAGCAAAGCCCTTGGACTCTCCTAATACCTCTTTTGCTACTTTTCGGATACAACTAGCCATGGAATCCCACCTTTGGCTAGCTTCCTCCTCTCTATCCCACCCACACTGGGTGATTACTTTCTCTTTGAAAATGGCTTGTTTTTCTCCTTTTAGATTCCACCATCTAGTCCTTGGGTACTTCCAAGTCTTGTTCTTTTTTCTCACTCTTTTGATATGTACATCCATCACCAACAAGCGATGTTGATTAGCTAAGCTCTATCCCGGTATAACTTTGCAATCCTTACAAGTTATACGATCCCCTTTCCTTATTATAAGAAAATCTATTTGTGTTTTTGACGACCCACTCTTGTAGGTGATCACATGTTCTTCTCTCTTCTTAAAGAATGTGTTGGCTAAGAAGAGATCATATGCCATTGCAAAATCCAAGATTGCTTCCCCATCCTTGTTTCTCTCCCCAAAACCATGGCCACCATGAAAACCTCCATAGTTGCCTGTCTCCTTGCCCACGTGTCCATTTAAATCTCCTCTTATAAATAACTTCTCCGTCTGAGCAATTCCTTGCACCAAATCTCCAAGGTCTTCCCAAAATTTCTCCTTCGAACTCGTATCCAACCCTACTTGAGGTGCGTACGCACTAACCACATTGATGAGTTCTTGTCCTATTACAATCTTGATTGCCATGATTCTATCTCCTACCCTCTTGACATCTACAACATCTTGTGTCAAGGTCTTGTCCACGATGATGCCAACACTGTTTCTCGTTCTATTTGTGCCCGAATACCAAAGTTTAAACCCTGAGTTTTCTAGATCCTTTGCCTTAAGACCAACCCACTTAGTTTCTTGTAGGCACATAATATTTATCATTCTCCTCACCATAACTTCCACTACTTCCATAGATTTTCCCGTTAAGGTTCCTATATTCCACGTACCTAAACGCATTCTACTCTCTTGAACTCTACCCTTCTGTCCTAGCTTCTTCACCCTCCCCCGTCTAATAGGATCAAAGTACTTCTTTTGTGTGTCCTGTGTAAAGTTGATAGGAGCATATGCTCCCAAACAACTTTGAGTGGAGTCGTTCGAAAAGAATTTTCTATGGCCCCCTTGCTCATTTAACACTGCATCCGGGTGCCGATGGAGATACAGTGACCCTTGCTTACTTATCACTGTGCTCGGGCCACACAGCGCGCCACTTACGGGTGACGCCCTAACTTTAGCGCGATTTTGTTCTGGATTCATTTTCATAAGGATTCGACGTAACATTGGAGTGCCGGCTGTCGACTACCTGACGCTCCCCCTCCTCCTTTATCCGGGCTTGGGACCGGCAATGTAAGATAACTTACACAGGCGGAGTTAAAAATCTCCAACACAAAAAACATTAAAAATCAAATTAAACAAATAAAGTAAATAAAGAAGTATTTGTCGATTTGCAAAGAGCTGTTAATTGTCTTCCTAACTTTAATTTTAGCCAATCACCTCTTAAAGTTTTATAATTGGTCAATTTTCTTCGAAAACTTTAATTTTAGCCGATTACCTCTTGAACTTTTACAATTGGCTAATTTCCCCCCTTGCATTAGATATTAGAAATTTTCATCCAATTTTCTATCCATCTTGGTCATGTGCACAACACATGGCAAGGAGAAAAAAGGTAATTTCATCCTTAATGTGGGCAACATATTTTTTTCCTTCCTCTTCTTCTCTTCAGATAGTTCACTCCGTACACTTTTTGTTTAAATTTTATCCCCTAATGTGGACAACTATGAATCTTCTCCATGGGCCTTTTTTTTCCAGCAATATGTTGGGGTTGTGATGCCATTTCATTAGCCTTACTTGTGACTTAATTTATATGACCATCTCGGTTCACCTATTTTAATTCAACGCCCAAGTTCAAATAAGAAAAGCAATTTCTCATCTCAACAAATTCATATTATAAACTGACCAATTATAAAAGCTCAGGGTACATAGATTCTAAAAGAGAGACTCTATACTTCCCTCTTCATCGCTACTGTGCAAATCTAATCTCAGATCTAAACCTCTAGTACCCACGATTCCCTTTTTTCTGTCATTTATGCCACCCACCCCCACAACCTTCTAAAAGAATCTAAGTCTCCCTCCATCCCTTTTTTCTTTCATTAACCTTACTTGTTCTGCTGGTTGGCGTTTCTTCAAATTTTGGGCTTCGAATGGATGCGGGGTTGGGGTGACTGAACATAGAAGAGTTTGGGGGTTTTTATTTTTGAGGTATTTGCCTATTTCCTCTCAAACTTATAAGGAGCTGTCAATTTTTCCCTAAACTTTAATTTTAGCCGATTACTCTCCTAAACTTTTATAATTTTTCAATTTCTCCCTAAGCTTTAATTTTAGCCCCCCCCTCCCGGGGAATGTTTATAATTGGCTAGTTTCTAGTATGGATATGTTAAGATGAGTAATTACTTTTCTTATTTGAATTTGGGCCTTGAATTGAAATATGTGAATTGAGATAGTCATGTGAATAAAAAACCCTTTATAATTCTTTAGGGACCATTTAGGATAAAAAGCCTTTTATATTTCTTAGGTAGGATTGTATGATTATTGTCAAAAAATAGTCATGTGACTAAAACCAAAATGAGGAGTTATGTTAATCTCAGAAATCATTTTGGATAAAAAGCCTTTTATATTTCTTATGTAGGATTGTATGTTTATTGTTAGAGCTCGAGAAAGAAGAGTCCTACATCTAATAGGTCATCAACGAAGTAGGATTTTCTCTCATCCAATTTCCCTTCCCTTTCCTCTCATCTTCTCACACTTGTCGCTTTGTCTCTTTCACTATAAATAAGTCAACATAAGACGTTGACGTGACTTAATTATAATTGTTTAAATAAGAGGAGAGAGTAGAAAAAAAGCGGGAAGAGAATCCTAAATCCGTCATTAACCTAAATAGAAAATAGGATGGTCAAATATAAACTAATACAATTTTAGAACTTTATGGTATTATTTGTAATGTGAATAAAAATTGATCACACGACAATACTAATTAGGGCTAGTTCGGTATGGGATACTGAACCGAAAATGGCATACCAAATCCCAAACCGAATTTTTTTGGGACGAGAATTCGACAACCACTCCCGAACCAAATTTTGGGATTCCCAAAATGTTTTCGGTATTTCCCGAAATCAAACCTGCATCAAAATCCAAATCATCTAGATAGAAATTGAAATCATCTGAACCTACATTAAAAACCTAAATTGAAATCAAAGAGCGACGGTGAATCAGTGATCGAGAGAGAGACAGAGACAGAGTGAAGAGATAGTCAGACGGACCTACATCCTCCTCCTAACCTGAGCCCCCAATTCGAAACCCTAAGTCCTTCAAACATAGTCAAACTCTTAGTGAGGATCGAGGATGTTATCACCTGAGTTGCTGCCATTCATGCAACGTGTTTTTCAGTGAAGGATGAGAAGTCGAGAGAGAGAGAGAGAGAGATAAGAGAGGTCAGGCAAGAGAGAGGTGAGTCGCTAGTGTGATGTGGCCAGATTCGAAGACGGTAAATAAGGAGGAAGAGAAAGATCGAGAGAAATCGGCAAGGATGAGAGAGCAGGGTGAGGTGAGGTCAAGAGTGAGAGTGACTGAGTGAGGGTTTTATTTAGATTCAACGGTTGAGATTAAGTCTCAACCAAATTTGACGGCTGTTACAATTCCAAATATATATATTTAAAATTAAATAATATATATTTTTTATTTCGATTCGGTTCGGGATTACTGAACGAATGAAAATGTGAGACTGATTCCCATACCGAAATTTCGAGATTGGTTTGGGATTGGGTACCGAAATTTTCAGGATTTTTGGTTTGAGATTTTTTTTTGTTCGGTTTTGAGATTTTTTTCAATTTGGTTTCGAATTTTCGGTATTTTTTTCCATCCCTAATAATAACATAACATGATTGGAAACCATCATGGCCCTAGTTCAGTCTAGGACTCATATTTTACCAAACCCATTGGAAAGAAAACTGTGCCCATTGCCCAAGGATCAAGATGTTCTTCTTCCCCAAGCTAAGGGGTTTTCAA